GAGCCAACAATAGACCAGTGATATCGTTCCAGCGCCAGGATGGCAGTGGCTACGATATTTTCCAAATCATCAACAACTGGTGGACTGACCAGCAGAGCCAGCAGAGGCCACAGCAGCAGGGATCCACTCAGGCGCCTTCAGCCTCCTCAACTCCATCCACACCTCTGCCTTCGCAACCGACTTCCACTCAGGCGGCGTCCGCTTCGCCAGCGTCTTCCTTGCCATCACTTCCTGCAGCCACACAGATCACGGGAATATTAACCCGTCCTGTGACACCGTCGCCACTCCTTCCTGATGCTGGAGCAGTGGACATTGAGAGGGTTACTGGAATTTTGAGTCAAAACGCACCCCAGCTGCCATCAGCCTCTCCAGCTCCGCAGACACCACAAGCTCCACAAGCTCCACAGATTCCTCAGGCGCCTCAGATTCCTCAAATTCCTCAGGCGCCTCAAATTCCTCAGATTCCACAGATTCCTCAAATCCCTAATTTGCCTCAAATACCCAATTTGCCGCTCCCTCAGATCCCCAATGTGGTTCCGCAGTTTCCGAATGTGATTCCTCAGCTTCCCAACGTTGTTCCTCAGCTTCCCAACGTTGTTCCTCAGCTTCCTAACGTTCCTCAGCTTCCTAACGTTGTTCCTCAGCTTCCCAACGTTGTCCCTCAGCTTCCTAACGTTCCTCAGCTTCCTAACGTTGTTCCTCAGTTCCCTAATGTTGTTCCCCAGCTTCCTCAAATACCAAATCTACCCCTGCCGCAGGTTCCCCAAATTCCAAACTTGCCGCTGCCGCAGGTTCCACAAATTCCAAACTTACAACTTCCGCAGGGAGGACAGGCAGCTCAGCAGCCAGCTCAGCAGCAACCTCAGCAGCCAGCTCAGCAACCTCTGCAAGGAATAAACCAGCAAAATCTGCAGGGAATTCAAGCACCTAATTTGCAATTCCCCCAGAATCCCCAGGTCCCTAATTTGCCATTGCCTCAGGTTCCCAATCTTCCTCTTCCTCAATTGCCCAATCTTCCCGCCCAAGGGCTGCCAGGACTACCCAATGCTCCCATACAACAATTGGGTCAGACTGTCCAAGGGACTGGAGAACAAGTCTTCGTTCTGACAGGACAACCCCAATTCTTTGGGAATTACGATGCTTTTGCAACACCTCTGAATCCAGTCTTTGGCTTGCCGCCAGTTCAGAATCTGATCCTGGGAGCCAGGGCAACAGACAATGAGATCCCGAGGACTCAAAACGACGCTGTAAGTATCTTTCTTCTTCTACTTCTATTCGAAAGCTCTAAATTGTGAATTTTTATCAGTTGATGAGCCCAAGTGAAATCTCTGAAATGACTGTGAGGATGGATTCTGACCCCAATGCCACTGAGGAGAAGGCATTCGTCCTGGACGAGAGGGGACAATTCGACGATGTTGATCAGGATGAGGCTGAAGCTGGGAAGTTGGAGATGATGCAGGAGAATTTGGCGATGCGAAGGGAAGAGATTCCTGACATGCGACGCGAAGAAATTCCAGACATGCGACGTGAGGAGATTCCTGACCTTCGACGCGAGGAGATTCCTGACTTACGACGTGAGGAAATGCCTGAGGGAATGCCCGAGCTGAAGAGGGAAGAGAATGAGGAAGACATTCCTGGGCCTGAAAGGGAGGAGATGTTGATGCAATTGGCCAGGAATCAGGCTGAATCCGAGAATCCAAGTGTGGCTCAGGCACTTCCAGCTGGAGTCGCCTTTGCCGGACTGGGTGGAGTGGCGTCTTCTGAACCATTGGCCACGGCAGCGTCTCTGAGCAGGGGCGGATTAGCATTTGCCTCACCCACTGCCACTTCCATCGCCGGGGATTTCCCTGATGTGCAGCAGGCCGATCTGGAGACGCCCAACGAGGCGCCGAGAGAGGAACCACGAGAGGAGCCGAAGGGCGAGTAAATCCACCGACACGACAATTGAAATGTATGTAGAATTTTCCACAAAATCAGGAGCGGCTGTATACGGGATCGTTTGTACTCATTGATCATCTCATCAAGAATACTCATCAATCATCATCGAAAAAAAAGAAAGATAAGAAATGTAAAATGCCATAAAAAGTATTAAAAAATACATGATCGCCGATCAATGAAATTTGCGCAGTGTTTCTGCATAAAGATAGTCTCCGAGAGTGTCCCAGAAAATTCTCAACCGGTTTCTAGCGCATCTGGACGGTGGAAAGTGCCTCTTTGGAGATGAAATCCGTTGGCAGTTGAAGCTGAGAGCACTCTCCAAGTGGTATCCAGTTGGTTTGGTGGTTTAAGTATTTTGGAAGAGATTCTGTTGCCTCAGAGTGAAGATTGAGGTGAGTTCCCGAAGAAGGTGGTTCTCGGTGATAACTGGTCACATATGCAAATGCCACCAGTGCTTTTCGCGACTTTTATTGTTCTGGCCGTTCTGGCAGTGATTCCAGGAACGTGGCAGCGAGAAATCAGCACAGCACTCCCGAGGAATACAATGATTGCGATATTTTCGTGTCATGCTGTGCTTTGCATACTCGTCGCACCGGTTTGGTCATCGCCAGTGCCATCATCCAAAGTGGCTGATGCCAATCGGAAAGCCTTGAACCCGGTCAGGAATGCCGTGCTGGCCTCTCTGACCAGAGCAGAGACCCAAGACGAGGGGTCGTTAAGTCAGAATGGCACTGATTCCACCACAGCCGCATCTGTGCTCCTTCACACCGCCAAGCCGGGGTCATCCGTGGCCAGCAACTTCCTCGCGAATCTCGTGCAGAACAACAATGCGGTGCATATGGCATTCGAGGGTGAGGCGCCGCAGGAGAACTACGCCAATTTGCCATACACACCGATCATGGATTATGCCTTCATCAAGCCAGATAACAGTAGCGATGCTGCTCCCAATTGGCAAGACACCCTCGCAAATCTCTACAAGCATCCAAACTTCCAAAACGGGGGCGTCGTGAAATTGCCGCCGATTAAGATTGTGGGCGCTGGATCGGAGAGTAAATTCCCGCTGGTTCTGGAAATGGTGGCTCAACGCATTCAATCTATGTTCTCTACATATGCCCATGAAGATCTGAGTCGACCACCAACATGGGACAGTGCGCAGCAATTGGCCAACAGGACAACTTCGACCGCTAAACCCACGAAGAAACCCATCCCGACCACCAGTGCCAATCCTTACACTACAAGAAAACCACTCTTGCCCACTAAAGCTACTCCGCACACAACGAGGAGACCAATTTCCAGCATCTCCACGATAAAATCTACTCTCCACACCACGAGAAAACCATCGCCAATTCCCAGCAAAACCACGAAGAAAGTGACACGCGCCACTACGCGAAAGCCTACGCACACGACCACCAAGTATCTCTCACAACTCTTTCAGCAAGCTGAGTATGCAGTAGATTCACAGTATTCTGATCTTCCTGAGCACAGCTCAGAACTCATTGATGTCACTTTCACTAAACCCATTTCCGTTGAGAATGATACATACATTTATGTCGGCGAGGGAGATGATGAGTTTGATAGAGGAGTTCATCGTCGGAAACCGCGAATCTTCAACACTTTCGCATAGTTTCAGGCGAATAATTCAACGTCTTTCGCAATCATTCATCGTTTGGTCACCGCCAAACTTTTATTATATGCTCGAGAGTGAGAACTATTCCTGAATAGCTTGTAATACAAAAATTGTTGATTGTTTAAACTTTCTTTTAATGCACAACACATGCCATATCAATTGAATCTTTTGGTGGTAGCAGCAATTATTAGCATTAGCTGGTCGTGCGACAATGAAAAGTTTTAAAGCAGCAGAGGGCAAAGCATTTCGCCGAATGGATGCAGAGTTTTTTTTTGGTTTTTATTTTAAATTTAGGATAAAATACAGTAACTTAAACTTGATTAAACCTGTAATACTTAAAATCAATACGTGATATTGAGATCTTCTCAAGTAACTAATGTACAAATCTTGTGCCTCTGATTTCCCCATCATTTTGAGTGTTTTCACAGAGCAAATTCATGGTGTTTGTAGAAAATATGCCAATGAATAACACCGCGTGGCTTCAGGTGAGCGAATAAGGTATTTTCTCAAGTGGCTCATCGCCAAGAAGAAATCCACAATAACCAGCGACAATTGAGGAGAGCTGCGAAGTGGGGAGAATTTTTGCGTACTGCATTTGGCGGGAAACTCTGGCCTGCGTCGTGAAGTCGCGTAATTTATTCTGATGTTCCTCATCCACATTCTCTACATTCCTCCATTATCTCATATCAAACAGAGTCGATTTCGCACATGACCTGTGTTGTTCATGAATATCCAACAGTTGATCTCGTTTTCTATGCGTTACGATGGCGATTTTGCACGTAAATCTTCAGCGACGTGTCATTTATCATCAAGCTGTATTCTCCTGCGTTCTTGTATATGGTGACGATCGCGAAAAGAAAGTATCGTTTATTAATATATCAGTTTTGGCATCGTGTGCTCGTGAGTGTATGAAAAGCTCATTGTTTCGCTGTTTACGTGCGCGACGCGGATTTAAATGAAGTCAAAGACATTCGGTCATCGTGGTTTAGTCATTGTGGAGGCCTCAAGACAAACGGTGGCACAGACATGGAGTTGAGGTGTTTGTTAGTGTTTCATCTGCTCGGGAATCTTCTGCTGTTCTCACTTTCATCCGCCGCATCGCTGAGAATGCCCACGAGAAGTGAATCTACTGGCCGGATTTTCACCGGTGCCCTGCAGAGCTTTATCGATTCCGTCCCTTGGCTTCCCATTGAGCTAAGTGTGTCGGACACTTTCTCAGGAATTGGCAGTGCGTGGAGCTACATGACGTCATCTCTGGGATCACTCATGGGCACAACGGGTGAGTCAAAGCCCAGGAAGAGGAAGAAAAGCCGCGACAAGAGAAAGAAATACATCCTGCCAAAAATTAAGAATGACAAAGAGATGGGAATCAGACCAGAGCCATTCCCAGGCGAGGAGCCACAGTACCTGATCCCAATGACCATCTAGAGACCAATTTTCTGTAACAGCCTTTTTATTGTTGTACAAAATGATATTGAATATACATTTCTATTGAATTTCTCACACTTTATACTGCGATTCCATGAGGCGGTCGATGATTTCACTCGTCATGAACTAAGACTGGCAAGATTTGGCTGTTTTGAACATTATCTTTCTGTTTAGGGTGCACTTGGGTGTCGTGCACGGCATCAACTGGTACTGAACCCTGAGCAGCCGCCCTTGCAGACACCTGAACTGTTTCTGGTGCGCCTGGAAAGTATCTCCAACCATTAATATACAGCACACTAACAACTACATTGAAGAAACTAAAGCGTTCTAGACAGAAAGCTTAGAAGAGAAAGCCAGAAAGCACAGAAAGCAGATTCTATTTTAGAGTTGAGCTTTGAGAAGTCGTAGTGTTAGTTGGCGCCTGACGCTTTGTCTTTGGCAAAGAGTCCGTTCCTGGGACACTTGGGAGAGCAGAAGAAGATGGAGGTGACGGTACACTTCCTGTACTATTCTGCATACTCTTTCCCATATCCAAGGGGTTGGTTTGGCGTCTTGTCTTTGGTGTAGCTAAAGTGGTGGGAGTCGTTGCACTGGCTGGTGTCGTTGGGGTGGCTGGAGAAGTTGGAGTATTTGTACTGTTGGTTGTATTCGTTGTTGCATCAGGAGATGGAGCTTGACGCTTCATTTTCGGAAGGCTGCTCATTCCTGGAATACTGGAAAGTCCTGGAATGGATGACATTGAAGGAAGAGCTCCAGTGCTGTTCATCATATTCGTCAGAGTGTCCATAGGATTTGTCTGACGCTTCATTTTCGGAAGGCTGCTCATTCCTGGAATACTGGAAAGTCCTGGAATGGATGACATTGAAGGAAGAGCTCCAGTGCTGTTCATCATGTTCGTCAGAGTGTCCATAGGATTTGTCTGACGCTTCATTTTCGGAAGGCTACTCATTCCTGGAATACTGGAAAGTCCTGGAATGGATGACATTGACGGAAGAGCTCCAGTGCTGTTCATCATATTCGTCAGAGTTTTCATAGGATTTGTCTGACGCTTCATCTTTGGAAGGCTGCTCATTCCTGGAATACTGGAAAGTCCTGGAATGGATGACATTGACGGAAGAGCTCCAGTGCTGTTCATCATGTTCGTAAGTGTGTCCATAGGATTTGTCTGACGCTTCATCTTTGGAAGGCTGCTCATTCCTGGAATACTGGAAAGTCCTGGAATGGATGACATTGACGGAAGAGCTCCAGTGCTGTTCATCATGTTCGTCAGAGTGTCCATAGGATTTGTCTGACGCTTCATTTTCGGAAGGCTGCTCATTCCTGGAATACTGGAAAGTCCTGGAATGGATGACATTGACGGAAGAGCTCCAGTGCTGTTCATCATGTTCGTCAGAGTGTCCATAGGATTTGTCTGACGCTTCATCTTTGGAAGACTGCTCATTCCTGGAATACTGGAAAGTCCTGGAATGGATGACATTGACGGAAGAGCTCCAGTGCTGTTCATCATGTCGTCAGAGTGTCCATAGGATTTGTCTGACGCTTCATCTTTGGAAGACTGCTCATTCCTGGAATACTGGAAAGTCCTGGAATGGATGACATTGACGGAAGAGCTCCAGTGCTGTTCATCATATTCGTCAGAGTTTTCATAGGATTTGTCTGACGCTTCATCTTTGGAAGACTGCTCATTCCTGGAATACTGGAAAGTCCTGGAATGGATGACATTGACGGAAGAGCTCCAGTGCTGTTCATCATGTTCGTCAGAGTGTCCATAGGATTTGTCTGACGCTTCATCTTTGGAAGACTGCTCATTCCTGGAATACTGGAAAGTCCTGGAATGGATGACATTGACGGAAGAGCTCCAGTGCTGTTCATCATATTCGTCAGAGTGTCCATAGGATTTGTCTGACGCTTCATTTTAGGAAGGCTGCTCATTCCTGGAATACTGGAAAGTCCTGGAATGGATGACATTGAAGGAAGAGCTCCAGTGCTGTTCATCATATTCGTCAGAGTGTCCATAGGATTTGTCTGACGCTTCATCTTTGGAAGACTGCTCATTCCTGGAATACTGGAAAGTCCTGGAATGGATGACATTGACGGAAGAGCTCCAGTACTGTTCATCATATTCGTCAGAGTGTCCATAGGATTTGTCTGACGCTTCATTTTAGGAAGGCTACTCATTCCTGGAATACTGGAAAGTCCTGGAATGGATGACATTGACGGAAGAGCTCCAGTACTGTTCATCATGTTCTTCAGAGTGTCCATAGGATTTGTCTGACGCTTTGTCTTTTTCGCAGTGTCATTTCCAGCCTGTTTGGGAAGCATAGCATCTAGAAGGGTGTCATTCTTGAGTGAGTCCAATGAAGGAGCTTGGCGCTTTGACCTTGAATTTGACTCTTCTGGTAGGGCATCTACATTGATGAGATCCTTGATGGCATTCCATGCCTGATAGGCACGCTTTGCCCGATTGATCTCGGAATAATAGTTAGTATCGTAAGAAGCATCAAAAGCGGGAGTGAGAGGTAGAGACATGCGATTAGAAGAAACTATGTAAGCATCGAAAGGCATATCGCGTCGTGAGCGACCTCTGCGATCGGAGAACTTCGTGATCTTGGCGTGAATCACGATGCGTGTGTGAGATCGTTCACGGTCGTAATTTCTGCGATTATTGCCGCCATTACCTGAGCTCTGTCTCTTGACTTTGCGAGCCTCCTCGAGGGTGCGGATTAGCTGCACGGGGTAGTCGAAGTTGTAGAAGAAGCCACGAGGCTCACCCGTGACTTCCTCCTCTTCCTCCTGCTGCTGGCGGTAGTTGGACTTCTGCTGGTACTGCGCTCTCGCCTGCTGAGGCACCTCAACCACAACTGAGTCTTGCTGCGAGGATGCGGCAGACTTGTCGGGGGTGATCGTGTAGGGGAGGTTGGGGTATCGGGTGAGACTTTGTGCTTGGTTGGCAACAGAGAGAAGCTGCTGTGTCTGCTCCTGCTTCGCCTGATCGTCGTACAATCGATTCGCATGGGCATTGTACAAGTCACTGGAGCGGAAGATATACTGGTTTAGTAAAGGGTAAGAGGCAGTGGCCTGTGAACTCACCTGTTGGGGTCAGGGTTAACTTTGGCGGCGCGTGCAGCTTCCGCCCATGCCTTCTCGTGCGCCAGTCTGGCTGCCTGAACCTCCGGCGTGTCTGTAACCGGTTCGAGCACCACCTTAGGTCGGTTGTCCGTCTGATGGAAGCCCAAGCTGTCCGCCCAGTAATTCACCTGTTGGCGATAATTAAAAAGCCCACATAGTGTCCCACTCTCGAGCATCTTACGCACTGTTTGACTATGATAATTACCACGACATCGTCACCGTTGGCGTCCACATATTGGTAAGAGCCTCGCACTTCACCGTTGGCATTGCGAGCCTCCAGACGCGCCTGATTCCAATCGGTGTACCCGAACATGGCACGTCCCAGTCCGTCCTGGCCATGGAACTGGTTGGCCTCGAACTCCTCCTGGACGTAATCCTCGGGATTCTCAATGATGCGGCCGTTGTAGTAGAAGTCGCGCTTCTCACCGTCGAGGCTTCGCAGCGTCGAGAGACGCTCCTCACCCAATTTCTTGGCATACCTCAGATCCAGGGACTGTGCCGCAATGTACTTCTGGGCCTCCTCTGGACTGAGATCCAGCAGCATGATCTGCTCACTCCACACCAGGGTGGCGAGCTGTTGAGAGAGAGAGAGAGATGAGGCATAATTATGCAAAGGTATGCAGTTTTCCTGGTTGTCTCACAATGTTTATCAATTAAGCACAAATATTTGCCGATCTCGCGGAGTCTTGACAAATATTGTCAATTCACTGACGCTCTCTTAAGAATTCTCTCAAGAAGTGATCATATTTTTTGTTCCACGCGCTCATGATTCAACTAGAATTGGTTCAATGAGTGTGAATAAATTGAATAAAGATCACCAGTCAGAACAGCGTTCACCTATTTTGCATATTCATCTATTTTTTTATGACATTCCCCAAAAATAGTTCTCGTGTGCAAAATGTGATCCATATATTAACCCCCTTAAGAGGAGAAAAACTTCAATTTTATTATTTGTTTTGCTTTTATCACAATAGAAATCGACAAGCTCACTTTATTAACAAGTCGTAATTTTGACGATCATCGCCAGGACCAATAAACTTCAGATTATAGCCTCTAAAAGCGATGGGACGAAGATCACACTCGTGTCGAATTTTCCCGAAATTCACATCTTCGCAATAAATTACACCAAAGAGAAACCTTCAACTTTGCCATTTTCCCGGGTGGCAGAGAGTCAATCGAAATCCAGAATATCAAGGGGTAAACATGTGCCACTCTGAGTGAACTCGGATTGCGAAGATTGTGTGATTGCGCCAAAAGATTGCGGATTGCGCCCAAAGATTGCGGATTGCGCCTAAAGATTGTGGATTGCGCCTAAAGATTGCGGATTGCGCGCAAAGATTGCGATTTTACACTAAGGATTGCGGATTGCGCCAAAAGATTGCGGATTGCGCCCAAAGATTGTGGATTGCGCCCAAAGATTGCGATTTTACACTAGGGATTGTGGATTGCGTTTGGGATTGCGGGATTGCGTTTCAGCGGAATTTGGGTAATATTTCGGGTCATTCGACTTAATTTCGAGTATTAAACGGAATTTGACCAGAATTCGGGTAGTTTTTCTGAGAATTTTGTACTCACTCGTCAACCACGTGCGGCGCGTACATAGAAATATAAAAAAAAAAAATTGTTTTGTTTTTCCTTGAGACGTGAAATTTCCAAAAATACGTATATCCTACAGTTGTAGAAACATCACAAGTATTGCATGTTTACTGCCTAAATAAATTTGTATTTTGCGATGATAAATGAAAATAAAGCGAGAGACGATCCTCAAGCAGATCCAGGTAGAGATTGACTTAGATCAGAGAGGACAACTTCGGAACCAAAGACATTCATGAAAACCTTCTCATCTGTAGTTAATTGGTCATCTGGAAGTTTTTTCTAAACACTTTTTGATACCTCGAGATGGAATTGCTATTTTAATTTCTGAGAGTCTGAATAGGCATATGAAGTGTTCAACTCAACGTTTTCTCAAGTAATAACCATTGGTTTAAGGAAAGAAGAAAGTTCGTTACAATAATTAGCAAAATTTCAGAGACAGAGAATCCTTTGGGAAATACCCATGTATAATCCCTATATTCATTTTGCAACACTTTCTCTCAATGGCCAAGTTTATTTGGGTTGCTTGAACTCACACTAATACTTGCAAATATGACCTGGTCAGAAAATAGCCAGTCCAATGCAATTATTATCAATCAAATTTTCAATGATAATAATTTTCTTCTCTCTGCCACACTGTATAAATGCAGATCAAAAACATGTTTAAAATTTATACCCTGCGTTCGAAAAAAATTTGCCAACGACTCAACGTGGTTCAAAATTTTGCATTTTGCTCTGTAAAAATCTGCCCTTGTTTCAAGGAATTCAGGTAGAAAATCGACTCGAAGCAATGTAAAAGTGCTAATCTGCCTATATTTATAATTCCAGTAAATACCTATCGTGAAATCTCATTTGAGCAGCAGGTATCTGAAGGAATTCACACCCAAGTTTAAACCAAAAAAATATATTTTGTTAGTGAATTCACTAAATGAGAATATTCTAAACATTTTTTTTACGAGATCACTGGTAGAATTTATACCTTTACGTCCTGTGTGATTGACCGTATAAAGTAATAATAAAATTACTTACTTGGATCAGAGAATTACTAGTAAGATATCACAAAGAACAGACCACATTTTTGCTCACCACGCCATTTAAAAATAGTAAATCAATCTGAATACGTGCGAAATTCCGAGAAAAACTACCCAAATTCCGCGAAATACTCTTAGAGATTGCGGATTGCGCTTAAGATTGCACTTAGAATTGCGGTGATTGCGCCAAAAGATTGCGATTTTACACTAAGGATTGTGGATTGCGCCAAAAGATTGCGGATTGCGCCTAAAGATTGCGGATTGCGCCCAAAGATTGCGGATTGCGCCCAAAGATTGCGGATTGCGCCCAAAGATTGCGATTTTACACTAGGGATTGCGGATTGCGTTTGGGATTGCGAAGATTGCGTTCTGAGTGAACCGTGATTGCGCCACATGTTTACCCCTTGCAGAATATAATATGATCTTCTGGATGTCGCGAAATTCCCGCGCCTTTTTTTATTTTTATTGCTCTTGCACGTCTGCGACTCTTGAGCGGAAATTGAGAGGAAGATGATTTTTCGGCCTTGGCGGTGTTTTTTTTTCTCTGCGTCGAAAGACCATTTAAATTTGCTCAATAGTTAGACAAGATGCTGGGCTTTTTCGTGAGTTGCGCGTTACAATAAACTCTGCGGTGACATCACGCTGTTGCTCACAAATTAATGATAAACAGGCGACAAGGCTAATTGGGAGTGATCGATCACCGAGAGAGAGAGGGAGCGAGAGATCATCCAAGTCCAAGGATCTGGGGCACGTACCATGGCAAAGATCACAAGACACTTCATCTTATCTGAGAACGCGTCTCACACCGAGTCACAGTGGATTCTTCGATCTCGAATTTCACAAATTTTTCCTTCACAGTCTCTCCCAAAGCTATCCTATCACCTCCACCTCTGACACCACTATAGCGTAGAATCTTCAATTGCGCGGGCTTTTATAGACGCAGCGCCACGCAGTCCTCGCCTCTCCGCGCTGCGTCTGTGGTGGAATCTCGGGGAGGAACAATGAGAATGACTTCGATGAGACTCACAGCGAAGATCCGCGACTTGTTTTTTCTGCATTTTCTATTTTTAATAAGATACCTAATATCATCGTTTGTCTTCTTCACCATCGCGCCTTTTTTTCCCTCCCCCTTAATCGGCCACAGCCGAAAAAGCTTCTCCACTCTCTGGGGCTTTTCTCTTGTCATCATAGCCGAAAAGTACGTGCTTTCAAGGGTTCCTCTTCACATCGCCTATTGGAGTCTTTTGTGCACGAAGCTAACAATTTCCGCTGGAAATTTATTCCATTTTCACACGATTTAGAATTTTCACAGCGAAAATGGCTCCACTGCCTCCGTAATCATTACTTTTTCTCTCAATTAGACATTCTAATTGGGCGACTCTAGGGAATTTCTAGATTTTTTCTCTCAATGCACAGCAGATTATATTGAAACATTTCTATTAATGGCGAGCGCGCAAGATTGAAGCGATTGTCGTTCAATTTACATTTTTGCGCTGACTGAGTGTTTTTTTAAGCCTGTATTTGTGGTTTGGGAAGTGAGAGGATTTTTACACACATTTTATTTTATAGAGTTTATTAAAATACGTTTACACTGAAAGCTCTCGAGAATTTTCTTGATATTGCATTGAGATCTCTATCCTATCATTATTGTAGCTTTTTTCAGGGAATTTCTTGGGATTATGTATTTCACTGACTTTAACCCATTCCTCTGAGTTTTATCTGCTCTTAAAGGATAAAGACATTTACGAGCAGAAATGGGTTAACGTTGTGCGTGCAAAATGTGCAAAACCAAAAAAAGGAAACCGTGAAATAATTCACTAGAATATGCTTTTATCATCTCTATGCGCCTCGTTGCACCCCGATGAGACTCTTCTCTGCACTCATCTGCAATCACGCTGTGCTTGAGGATTGTGCGACCTTGAGAGGATAATAAAGTCAATGTCTGTGTGGCTTTTTTCCGCGACATATTACAGTAATTCTCGGTGCGACATGTGCACAATTTGCTTGCGACTCGGCTGGAGGTTTTCGCGGCGGCCCCAGCGAAGGTCTCGCTTTTCCTGCTAAAAAAGCGCGCATCTTCCATAATTGACACCTCACGGCGGACGAAGAGACAAGTCGCGAAGATGCTGAAAGGTCACGTTTCTTGCTGCAATTCATCAACAATGATAAGGCAGTGGTACATGGTGACCATAACGCCTTACCTCACTGGAGAAGTGACTGGAGCGTTTCATCATCGGGAAAAAATCACGCAAATGGGATTTTTATTGAAAAGACATTTTTCTAACACGATGTTGAGCAAAAAGGCAGTTACGCATGTGGCTGATAAAGATTCTCTGATGGTCCCATTGTTAGAGGCACATTCACACACCATTTATTGGCGTGGCATCGTGAGGGAAATCATTGAGAAGCGGGAAGAGCAATCAAGTGATTATCGTGCAAATGGAATTGATTAGTTTACGTGTAAACAAGGTGGAAGCTTTGCAAATAAGATCACTTGCCCTGCCCCAGAGTCAGTCACCGATTGATTGATATTTGTCAATTAATTTGCATATTTTTCACATTTTTTGCACCTCTCCTTTATCATTATCATCTTCAGACGGCAGAACAATATTCGGAGGCCCGAAAAGTCCACGCCAGGAGATGTTCTATTAGTGGAGATGAACTCATTCATGTCAAGTGTTATGGGGCTAACAACTCACCCGTGTTGATGACTTCTCAATTGACTTCTTAATGATTTTTCCACGCAGATCTCTACACCTTTTTTCTAGCGCGACTCAATGAAAATCTCAAAACGTATCCGCAGAATAGATAGACATTGAACTGAACACTTCCTTGCCACATGTTTAGAAGTGTTTCAGTGACAATTTTCACGAGATTTTCTGCGAAATGACGCTGATTGTTAGTGACAAAAGTGGCTAATTTGAATACAATATTTGTAACTGGAATTTTTTTGGGGAAGGGAGCTTTAGAAATGCAAATCAGCTTTGATATTGAAAGTGATTCACTCTATATGGTTGGAAAAAGGCACATTTCTGAGGCGTCAGCTCAAGTTATGAAAATAATTCTTAACTCAGTCGGTTCGTCAGCCAAAGACAACATCCAGACATTCTAATGTGAAGCCACGAGTTTGTTTATTTCTGTATTTTCAAAGCCGATATGTCCATTAATTATTCAAATATTAATTCTTGATGAGAGACTAATGGGAAAATTGATTAATTTCTGCATTTTTATCTGTGATAGTAAGAATGAAAATTACCTTTACGGATATTAGGAATTATTAAATATATATATTTTTTAAATCGAAATTGCAACAATTTCCAACGAAATTTCCTATCCTATTCCTAATTGGGTATAATTTTCCTTGCTATTTAGCCACGAAGAAAAACAAACACAGCATGATTTCCTATTCATTTGCCAGAGACTTCAATGATCATCTTCTTTTTTTTTCTTATATCGCGTCACGCACTTTTTCACACAACGTTCAAAATGATATTTCTCAATGCAATAAATATCTTCATTACCAGTTTCCCACAATGCAAATGACAAGTGATTCTAAATGGGTTCCCTTGGCTTCACGGTTGACCCACGCGGATGGCTGGCAAATAAAACTGCACTTTCTGGCTTTTGCACAACAAGTCCATCGATTTATCAGCCCCGCGCGCGCAAAACTCTCTGGCCTCATTCATTGTCACGATGCGCACAAAAAGCCGGCCACATTTCTCACCGGGTCACTGATGCCGAATTGTGGAACCACCCAAGGGGGAGATAATTCAGCCAGAAGTGGTGTACAGCTCAAGCTGAAGTACTTAAGAAGTGGAAGTGTTCAAAAACTCTCAATCTTCCTTTCCTAAGTGCTTCTTTTGCTGACTAATAATCCCGATTCTTTGGATTTCTTTTGAGTTGTATAAAGAAACAATGCTTTTCTAGGTTATGAAATGAATTATGGACGAATTCTTATGCTAAAGTCAACATGATTGCTAGTTATTGGCAGAATTTGGCATTTTCATTCGATAAGTATTGCTATTCTTTACCTTTAATACCAAAAAACACTAAAAATTGTGTTAAAATCGAACATAACCTCAAAAAGAGTAATTTGAACTTGGAAAATGTTTATTTAAACCGCATTCTGCACAATTTTTAACTCTGAATCAGCAATTTAGAGTTTATTGGCGACTCATAAAAGATAATTTCATCATCTAAAAGTGTTAAAAAGCTTCCAATTGGAATCTTTTAAAATCTCTTAGTGTTATTTTTGAGGTTATGATCGGGAAAAGATACTGATAAAGCAGTTTCAAGTGATAGAAAGTGGTGTACAGACTGAGAGCATACTATCTACCCCTTGAAACCAACCAGCCAGTGATTAATTTGGCCCAATGATGATTACATGTGTTTGGAAAATGTTAGACAACACCATAAGAGAATTACCTCGTCGGCCGGGGTGATTGAAAAGAGCGCGTCACCGTGCGAAGGTGGACACGCAGGTGGGGAAAAAAGAAGATTTTTCAAACCAATTTATCTTTCTGGGTGTTTGTGACGAAAAAAAAGTCAATTGATGCTCTCATCTCGCGAGCTTCAATTAACTCAATATCTCTCAAGAAACCCAACAAACTGACGAGCTTCGGGGCTGGTGAAGGTCGCGTCGGAATGGAGGAATTTCTACGCAGTGTTGGTTGTGCAAATCAATAAAAATTAGTTAATTTTTTCGATAAAAATATCACTGAGCGATTATATTGCGTTTTTCACATCTTCTAATCACCACGTGATGTAACATTGCTGACGAGAATCCGCGGCCGCACAACAGACGCGCGCGCGCGCTACGACTCAAAATACCATCAGCAAAAGTCTCCGGCAACAGGGAAGACCGCCAAGTGATTATGATATCACCCACGAGTTCCTAGTAATTACCGTATTAAGAGACTGTTTGGAGAGGATAATGACTGGGGTCTTTTTTATCAACACTCCCGAGAATTTGCCTCACAAATGCCGATCAATTTTAAATTAGACAGTCGAGGCTTTTCGCCTTAAGTGAAATATGATTGTGAAAACCACATAATGCTGGGTTTGGATGAAGAGGAAACATAGAAATACTCATTTGTTTAACTATACAAACCAATAATTGAATTGGAAATTGATTTGAGGAGTTAATTTTGTAATTTGGGGAAAATTCAATTAGGAAATTGAGTGATTTTTATCTAATTCTGCTCACTTTTAGGGAGTCAAATGAGTCAGAAGTCATGAAATATTTCAATCATTTCCTCTCCTTTTCATTCTCTAAAGGCAAATGACTCAAGGCATTATCTGCCAGACGAAAACCACAAATTCACCATTGCTGAAAAACCGCTAAAACCTCCATAAAGAAGACCTTCCGATATGCCTAAGAGTGTGGAGACAAATTGAAAAGATTGCTTGACTTTAAAAAATGTATATTAATTTCTATAAAAATGCAGAATACATTAAGAATGTTTGCCTAGAGCGCGCTCTGGTGCTCCAAACATCGCTTCATAGTCTTCAAATAATGTCTAAATAAAAAAAAACATCGAACAAGTAAAAAGTTCACACGCTTTATAATAATGAAAAAAAAATCATCAGAGTGAATACAATTAAAATACTCTATAATTGGATTGGAAAAAAAATTTCCACCGTTGATAAAAGTTGGAGAAAGAAATGCTGGAAAAATTATGGCAAAACTTTCTTGCGTCAAGAGAAACGCGGAAAATGCGAGTGTCGAAGGACATCGAGAACATTTTGCGTCGTGTGTGTTTGTGTGAAAATAGAGAATTATTACATTTTCTCAATACATTTTCCCTGCAGTTTTTTTTCATCTTCTTCTTCATCAATTTTACTCGCTTACAAAAATCTATGGTTTTCTTCTTATCGTCAATGCGAAATCTTCAGCAGAAATTGTGTCTTAAATATATAAATTTCACTTTTTTTTTCTCTATCAATATAATCTTTCGTGGCATTTCAGGCTCATAAACAAAACCTCGTGGGTTTCTTCAATCTCATTCTCAGATGGCAAATTACGAAAACGTTTTTTTTTCAAGAAGATTCAGTGCTCAAGTGGCTTAAGATTAGTAACATTCGAAAGAATCATGGGCGTACATAAATAAAGAATAGAAAATAGGGAATTGGAGTGTCTTTTTGGAAGATGAAATATTGCCAGGTTGAAGGAAGTCGAACTGTTCCACACGGCAGGAATTCGAAATATGTCTTAACAGCGTCTTGAGAGATTAAACGGAGTCTTGTGTCTACAATTTCAGAAATTGGAGGAGCAATTGAGGAGCAGAGGAAGTGTGAAGAGTCACGGGGACGCCGAGGAGCGTCTCATTTGGCCGTTGTGGCTGTCTTCACGGACTGCGCGATGTCCGTGAATGCATCGTCCTTAATAACTACACCGTCGCGCTCCTGGCCGAGCCCACTGATGTCCAGGGACGCCATCTCCGACTCCAGGCTCTTGCCGTCAGCCTCCTTCCCGGACTTCTTAATACTGGCACGATTCTTGGACTTCTCCTTGGGCTCCTTGGCGGCCGCCTTGTCCCGCTTCTTGCTGAAGAAATTGTGACATCCGTTGGGCAGGAAGCCCGTCAGCTTCTTCTCCTGCTTCCCCTTGGCTATTGAGGCATTCTGCGGTGTCTCTGGCAGTGAATCGTTGTGCACACTCGTGATCAGTTCCGCCTTGCCGGCATCCACCGCCTCCTCCTCGGCGGATGCTTTGGTAATTGCACTTGGTGGCGAGCACTCCTCCTCCTCCTCCTGGCTGCTCTTGTACGTGGGCGCCGTCTCGGGGCCCAGTTCTGTGTACACGACTAGGTTCGACTCACTCGTTCCCGCGCTGGCGATCTGCTCGTGGAAGGACGCCTCGCGCTCGATGTCCCTCTTCGCCTGCACGGCGCCCCACACGTCCTTCAGCTCGCCCGACAGGTCGCGATCCTTCAGCACCACCGGCTTTCGCATCAGCTTCAGCCCCGGATTCATCGCCTCCACGAACTCGCACATGAGCTCCACCAGCGCCTGTCGCGCCTGATCGTCGGCGCTGATGTTGCGCCCCGTCTCCTTCAGCACGTCCGGATTGGCCATCACGGCGAAGACGAGCGGCGGCGAGCGAGGATTCCCTGAGTAGACCTGCAAACGGAGACATGAGATTTGAGTGCTGCATAATTTCATTACCCACAGCCTCGACTCTATCACGCTCTGTAATCCAATTGAAGTTCTTACGCAATTTGCAGTTAGTTTCTTGCGACCCAGAACAAACCGAACATTTGATAATCTCGCATCGACTGTGCGATTTTCCTCAACCGCGCCAGTAATTGGAAAATTATCTGATAAACTTTACTTTCTTTCGCCATTCTTCTCAAATTCCTTCTGCGTTTCTATCCATCTCTGTCTCAAACTTAATTGAAATCCGACGCTTTTCTATGTCAATTCCTTATCGCTTTGGCACTGCGGGTCGAGCGATAAAAGACATCAGAGTCACGAAAATGCTTGCCAAAGTCTCGCAAAAAGTGTCCCGTTTCTTCAGAGCTTTGTTTTGGTCACTTTGCCTCCTCAGAAAGTCAATATCTCCGAGAGGTTCCCTTTGTCCGCTTCACAGAAGGAGAATCTTGCAAGCCTTGGCGCTTTCCTATTGGAAGAGCGAAGGAGTAAAAGTGAAAGGATTTTTACCCTCATTCCGCCGTAGAGTGGAATCGGATCGTTGGGATTCGACGGCATCACGATCCTGGACCAGCTCATCACGTTGATGAACAGCTCCTCGCCGTCCACGGTGGTGTCCCGGATGCACATCCTGGGCTGCGGAGGATTCTTGAAGTTCCTGAAGGCGCGCGAGTGCCGGAAACTGGGCGGTCGCTCGGCCGTTTCCATTTGAAACTGCTGCTGCTTCTGCTGCGCCGTCACCCCCGCCGCGGGCATCTCCGCGGCGTCCGCCTCGTCGATGGGGCCCATGCCTGGCGCCTCCCGGCCGGGCTGGTGCTGCGGCGACTGCGGACTGCTCATAATCGCGCACTCACCGGATCGCTCGTGCCTTTTTCACTACTCTCACGCCGCCGTGGGCAGTTGGACGCCGCGGATGGGATTTTCCACGGGCTGCTGGAGGAATAAACAAGTCTGTTATTGTCTAAAAATGTTTCGCGTTTCCCTTTCTCTCTTATCCCAGCGAAATACACTCTTCTTCTTCTTCTTCGCTCCACATTCGAAGCTTTTTCACCTCAACCGCAGCGGAGACACAGTGTGGTGAGGGTGAGTTTCTCATGTGCTGCCATCTTGGCGCCGAGAGTCGCTGAATAAATTACATCTGGCGTAAGAAAATATAAATAACTCTTTGGTTTTGTTGTGATCAAATAAACTACAGAATTTCCACCTTAGGCAATTGATATATCTTATTGCGCTGAAGCTTGTGCATTTCTATAGAATTTTCTCGCACGAGATCAACGAAGATTTTTATTCCAAAATCTGTAAGATAATCGTAAATTCTCCTCAACACTTGAGTGTGCATTTCGGAGAGTTAATTTGAAATTATTATCCCAAGCTGTTGCTTCGCTCTTCCCTGCCGTTTCGATCGCCACAGCAAATCTCAGAGAAATGGGTCATTCGCAAGAATTTAACGCGCAGCATCCAGTTATTCCTCGCGATAGCCCGAAAATTCCATCATAACAGTAAATGCAGATAAAAGCAGCGACACAGGTAACAGAATCTCTCCTCATGAAAAGGCAATTGGGAGTGTGAGATATTGACACGGCGATCTTCTGCGGATTAAGCGGCAAAAGAGCGCAGAAATGTTATGAAACACTCCGTGAATTGCATTGAATTAAGGAAAAATCAAGACTAAAGACGGCTCAAGAAGAGAGAGAGAGAGTGGATCGCGAATTAAATGATAATTTCCACGTAATTGCGAGGCGATTAATTGAGAACTCATTAGGAAATTTCACTTGCTCTGATGGTGACGACGAACAAAAGATTTCGTGCTCTTCCAGCGTCGAATTATGGCGAAGAGATCTTTTGTGAGCGATTTTCAGAGCAGATTCAAAAGTGAGTGTCTTAGAAAAAATTATATTGCTATTGTATTCTGATTCAGTGTGGCGTTAAAGTGACTGAATTTGCGCAGGTAATAATTATGTTTATACAGAAGAAAGCACGAGAAGATTGAGACATTTTATGACAAACCGTTAGCATGTCAATATATGAAATTCTTGTTAGAATATTAGTAATAAAATCTGTGTTATGTTCCCGCTAAGAAAGTTGACTAAAAGAGACTCAATATTCAGCATCTTTTCCACACGCTAATTCAGCGGGACATTTTGTTAACAGCGCGCGGCAATGAAGATTTTTTTTTCTTCAATTTAGAACGTGCTCTGCATGAGTAAACGGAGAGATTGAAAAAAAAATATTACTCAGCGCATGATTTTCCAATTTCTTCTCATTTTCTAAGGTATTTTGAATGAAATTCCCCGGCAAAAATGGAATCACTTTATTGCTTTTACACAAAATTATCTGGCGAAGAAAACTTTCACGAGACCTCAAGACTGATCGCCATTCAATGGATCTCTCGAATTGCTCGCCCTTTCTTCCAATTTAAAACACCGCGCGCGCTTTCCCGTGTGAAGGCAAAAAGAGATCACTTGCGCTTTTCATTGCGCTCTGTGCAATTGTGATTCGGATTAAATTAAGCATCTCTGAATGCAAATTATTTCCTCATGAGGCATTCCAGCATCTTCTTTGCGGCGTTGCGCAAGGGAAGCCGCGAGAGTCGCGCTGTGAAATTCGGGGGAGACGCTGGGGACTCCCTCGAGGGCACCTCGCGTGCTTTCTGAATGAACGCTCGCGTAGTACGTGAGTAAGAGTCGCGAAGGCCCCCACCTGGTGTCTCTCCGCGGGCGCGATGCCCCACGAGAGCTCCCCAGTCAATGCGCCGCGGCTTTCCTCGCCAGTCCAAGTTTCACGTTCGTTGAGCGCGTATGGCTTCTTGTCGGTGCCAAACATGCCAATCAACTGAGTTCTCTCGTAAATCACCCATCGCCGCCCGATGACCAATTGAGGTGAAAGAATCACGCTCATTTTTTTGTCACTGTGTAAGTGTGTTTTTGCGCCCAGCAAATTGCCGCTTTTTTTCGCGACCACGAGAAATTGTCACTGTCGCTTTTGGGGGAAAGTGAAACAATCTTCTTGGTGTGTGCCATCGAAGAAATTCAAAGTAGTTTTTTCTCCCCCTGAAACACATCACTTCAGGATTATACTGTGTGAAAATGTCGCCAATCTTTCTCTATCGGCGCAAATGATGGAGAGAGAGAGAAATTAATTTCGTCGCTCGTGTGGCAGATGTGAGAAAAAGATCCGTGTGATATAAATTATTGGGTAATCCCCGTGCGACAAGGAGAGATTTTGGAGTGAATGTGCCATTTTCGAAAGTGCAGGTATTTCTGTAAACAAGACAAGTTCGTCCGGCTCGGAGGTTGACAAATGCCATAAGAAGACAGCATCGGAATTGAGCCATTTTCTCTTACATCAAATGTTTGAATCAATTCGAAATTTAATGATAAACAGAGGAAAATTTGTATGACAATTATTTCTAGATTAGTCAAGGGGGAGATAATATGCCTCACTGTACACCACTTCAGACACTTCTGAACGTGTTTAAAGGCATTTTTCGTCGCTTTTTAGACTTCTTCAGCTGTTTCTCACACTCAATTTTGACTGAAAATGCTTTGAAAAATTCTAACCAAATTAAAAGGTTATGAATTCAACCTAAAAATTCCTTCTTGAGCTAATTAAGATCTTTATGAACCTGAAAATGAGTAAATATATTGAATTTATGAATACTTCAGATCACTTTAAAACAAAAAACCACGAAAATGACTAAACAAAGAAAAATTCTTCTAGACTGAAATTTGACTTTTTGAGGTTATGATTAACTTTTAAGCTTTCTCTCAGTCAATATCAAGTGTTTTTTGATCAAAATACTCAATTCTGTGGAGAAAAAGAGAAATAATCTCAGCTCAAGCACAATTTGATGAATTTGAAGGTTATTAAATCGATAGAATCTGTTTTAAATCAATCACATAACCTAGAAAAACAGTAAAAATTGTTTATTCTCATTAAAATTATATAGAAAATGCCCGAATTTGTTAAAACTGAAGCTTTTGCTCAGTTCCCAAACACTTCCACAAAGCTGTACACCACTTCTGACCATAATATCTGCCCCTTGAGATTAGTAATATTTTTTCTATTGCAAAAAGCGACCACTATTAACTTACTTATCCACCCTCAAATTGTGGCCCAATTATGACGCTTCCTTGATCACGAGATGCCGAAAAAAAGACACCCACAAGTCATAGATAAGAATTTATATACATTAAAGACCATAATTAATTACTAAGTCAAGCTGTGGAAACGTATTTTTTCGCAAGATCTTTTTCTCACACAAGGTTTCGCAATGTTTGAATATACATTTTCGCGACGAAAAGTAATTAAACAAATAATTCGTGTGTATCCGAACACAGAGAGGCGTACGAAGAAAAAAAAAATCCTCCATGTAATTTTGGAATGCTTTTCGAGGTATTTTACGACCTTTTTCTTTGTCATGTACTTCGGTTTTTGTGAACTGATGACTTTGCCACTTTGGTAAACACACAGGAAACATTTTCATGTAATGAGAGAGAAGTACAAAAAATCCTACGCGCTTCTTCAGTCTTTCCTAGACAAGTCAGTTGAGAGAAGAAGAAAAAAAGCCGCGAAATAGCAGCTCTGCGCCAAGTCTTCTTCCTCTGCAAAGTGCGGACAAAAAATCCAAATATAAAAATTAAGACACTCACCCAGAGAGTCAATTGAGAAAATTGTTCAACCATTTTTCCTCAGCGTGTGGCTAATTGAGAGATTATTGAAGAGTGAAAGCATTTCACCTGCGACCATCACTCAATATTACCAATATTGGCAGGCGTTCTTCTGCCTCTTTTCTCACTCACTCAAAAAAAAATAGTAATAAAAAATACACTCGCACGATGTTTGAGCAAGAAATTACACAATATGATTCGCGTAACGCATTTGCTGTGTGACTCATACATTGAATTTTAGATTAGATAAAAATAATTATAAAATTTCATTAATTCATTAAAACTGACCTCCACGCCACTCTTCCACGATGTACTCATTCAGCCCAAAATGCGAGCTTCTTCGGGAGCAAATCACTTCTCCAGATCTTCATCTTCGGCAGTAAATTACCTTTATCAGATGCGCATATCATAGCACAGTTTGCATTAATATTCATTGGGGATAATTGTTAATTGCATGAATTAAAAATCTGATAAACCCTGCGATTCGATTCATTGATGGAAAGGTGGTAAACTTGAGACCTTAGCTGGAATATAGCCTTTCGAAAATCTTTATAAAGCTTATAAATAACTTTATTATGATTGTCTCGAGGTGATTTTCATGCTGAAATTTTATTATTGCGGCCCATAAATGAGTAAAAGGTTGTAAAAGCAGAGCAAATTTGAGTAATATATTTTTAGAGATTTTCTTAAAGGCACAAATCATGCTCTTTCCCTAAAAATTTCCTATAAAGTTATGCTTTCAAACTCTTACATTTATTGCACATCACGAATAAAGAGTTGTAATTTTTGAAAGCTGTTTCATATTTCTAAGAACATTTTAATAACAGTCGCGGAAATGTGTGGGAAATTTGATCAAATTTTAACACACTGACGTTGGCAGAAAAACATGTATTTTTGCATCTGCATTTTTTGAGCTGTTTCTTCAATTTTTACAAACTCGCAAATTATGAAAAAGTTACAATCATGCATTTAATTTCAAAATTACTGAGCTTGAAAATTGGTGAGTGCTTCACCATGTGATTATTTTGCACGATTTGTAAGATGAAAGTTGCTAATTTGATAACTTCAACCTGTTTACCTGCCTTGGATATTTTGACCTTCGGATGGTATGAAATTTTTGAATTGTTTTGCTGGAAAAAATTTTGCACTTGTCGAAAGAGTTTGAGCTAAGGAAATCAGGTAGGAAGTTGAAGAATGTCTTGCACTATAAATAGCGCATGAGAAATTGCTGCAAATGTTGGCTAATCATATTCTAAGTGTCTAATTGCCATCAATTTGACGAATACGAGTGGACATTGAGTGAGTTGAGCAATGAGAAAATCAATTTTCCTTCCCGCAACAGTGCCAGTAAAACCTGTCTATGGCGATAAATGCTGTGAAGTTGGAGACGCGCTGGATGTTGCGGAGATTGCATTAGAACACAAAAAGCAATAATTCAGACATGTTGAGCAAGTCTCTGTTGGCCGGATGGATAAATTTCCCACCATCGTTCCGCCCCCTTCATCATCCTCCGGTTTGGCCAGATGTAATTGAGATTTCCTCCTCAGTTGCACAATTGGCCTATTCCAGACATTTTGGAGTTGTGGATGCCACAGAAGAATCAATGGAAAATTGGATGAGAAGCGAAAACGGTGAATTTTCACCTTGGGCCACTTGTCAATTAACTTTCAATATTGCTGGCAGAGCAATTTGTACGGCGCGATGTTTTCACAATGGTGAACCTCTGCGCGAGCGCGGCTTTCCCGCCCAAACCATGCCATGCAAATATATGAGGTCTCCATCGAGAGAAACACACGAGTTTTTCCAACTGATCGCCCACCTGTGCACATTACCTGCAGCCATGCACTGCATGACTGACTCTCTCACTCCGCCGCGTACGCACTGATTGAGTGCTCAGGTATCTCCGTGCATAATTGCATTTGCACCATTCTTTTTGCACCCTCGTGACCGTGCAGCAAAACGCACACGGCGTGGCCGAAATTGGGACAAGTTTGTGGCTGCAGACAACATCCAATATGAAGAGCAGCGCAGAAGAAGCAACAAAAGATGGAGCAAAAAGTTGCGCGCCTCATGAATTCACCACTGGATACTCGCACTAGGTTAAGGCGAGAAACACGTGAAGAGAATTCATACGGCACCAAATGAATTTAATGCTATAAAATTATTTAGTGAGCGCTTCATAGAATGGAATTTTTTCTCTCTCTATCTCCCCACATGCAACAATGGGGCCCAAGAGAGTGTCCTCGACTCAAATAAATTATACAAAAGCTCCGTGTTTTGCACAGCGCGAAAGTTCAGTCGGGAGTTGATGGCCCACACTAATCTCCAACATACTCTCGCGATGGTCACTTAGAACGCCCAACGGGGGCCTCATTGTGTCGCCCAAGAGCACCATCAGCCGAAAAGCCCGCTAATTGATGCATGGCCGCGGAGATAACATTTGACCCATTTCCATTTTCGGACGCATCAGAGAATTCGTTGAATTTTTCATAGGGCCTCTGACCCTCAAGAACACCCGTCAACCACACTATCTCGAGTGGTGGTTTCGACACAGATGTGCGGGTCTCTTGAACTTATCAAGATTGTCTGGACACTTGCGAGGCCCATAAAGTGAAGACGAGAATATATGCGAGAGATCTTCTCGATTATTGTTGGACAAGTTTGTGAAATTAAGATTTTTTCGGAGAAGTTGACACAAACCATATCAACGTGATGTAAAATCGTAAAGATATAGTTCTGGGGAAATTCGAGAGGAACACTTGGAAAGGTCATCTTGATAGATTGACAAATTTATATGTAGCAATCTGAGGAGATTTAAGCATTTTCTTGCCTTCACGCGTTACACATTTGAGATTTAAAACAATTTTCTAACTCATATTCTCCCTAATGGTCATCAAATTTCCAATAAATCATTGATGTCTAAAATATTTTAATTGAATTTAACATCCTAATAAATCAACAGCGTAACAAATCATAAGCCGTTCATCATCGTCATTTTTATCATAAATCTTCCCGGGTGAATTTTCCAATCATGAAAGCCTCTTACAAGAAGTTGCTGCTACCAGATTGTTCCACTTTCATCTGTTGAGCACTTGATTGTTAAATACGATCTGCAGAGACGCGATATCGCAACACGAGATCGATGTTTTCAGCACTCGATCGAAAAGTGAAGAATCTCGCTGTCCTTCTGGGAGATCTGAATGGCACGGCGTATTTTATGGCTCTATTGGACCAAGATTACACTTGATGTGTCAATAAATTTTGGTGGCAAATGCTGCAGAATGGGGGGATTTTAGAACATTCAGAATCGGGTAGTGAATCTTACCGTCACGCACGTGTGAAACAGCGAGCGGGAAGATTAAAATCTTCACCTCGAAATAAAATCATTCAAGTCCCAATTAATGCCATTCCATGGTGCTCTCAAGAAGCTTATAAGCCAGTGATATGAAAGTTTCAGAAATAAAGGGTATTAGGGCGTATTAATTTATTGCTGCATTGCAAGCGAGAGATTTACAGCTTGCCGAAAAAGCCGCGATTCGCCCTACAAGACATCTCTTTGCTCACGTCAAGTCTTTGCCTTCTCTTTGCAGACGATCGAGACAGTTTCTTCTCACTTCGCATATATGGAAAGTGGACACAATTACACCCTACTTTGCATGCCACAACTGTGATGGATAAAAAGTGCGTATTTAAAGTGATGAAGTGTTTCTCAACATTAAAATAATAACAGTGGTGAGGCGCGAGGTATGAAAAAAAAGTGAAGCAATATTCTTGTATTTTCTCTCTCAATTGAGAGAATTGTAAGGCAACATCGAAGAAGAATAAATTGCATCAGTTTCTCTTGTGTTGTGTGTGGATATAGAAACTCCTCGGTGTAATTACACGCATTGCATTGGAGGTGGATTCTTCTCATATATGGAATTTATGCTGCGGCTCACTCGTGTCTCTGTGAAGAAGGCATTTCTCAGCATCGAATTGTGCTCAGGCTGTATTGAACAATTAAAGTAAAGGAGGTGTGCAATTCGCTGTTTAAAGCCGCGTGAGTGCATTGAAATTGCAAGTGCAAGAACAAGAGGGGGGCATTTCCCGAGTGAGAGGATCCGCGAAAAGATGTAGCCGCGCGGAGACATCCATGCCGAAGAAGGTCCAATTAAATGCGATACACAGGATTACGGCGCCAGCATGCAATCTGTCTTTTTGTCAGCACCGCTGATCCTGCTGCTGATTGTCCTCAGTGAAGGAGCCGCCACCGCACCATCGCCAATTAATCCGGCCACCAATTGCAGCGCTCCCGATGGCCAGGCAGTGCGTGCAAATTGCACCTCCGATCACGGTGAGTCCTTTGTGTCTCTCGACGCTTGTGCGTCTGAGAATTTTTCACTTTCCGCAATTAGTCTTACTGCGCTATTCCACCTATGCTAATCCGTTTGCTGTGTTCCGGCGATTAATTCAGAGATGCCTAATGGACTCTACAAATAGATTTCTCCCATCGCGCCTCTTTCTTCTCGCGCACTAACTGTACTGGCAGCGCGAAGCGATCGATAGAGAAAAATTCCTAACATGAATTAATGCACAATTGATCTTGTGGAGCAACAAAGCATCACTCATCATCAATCAAAGGCTCAATTATCCGTTATGAAGATGTTTGTGATTAATTTTCACTCAATTTCAACCTCAACAAACATGCTTAAAGCTGATTGTAGTGAGATTAGGAAGCTTTTGGGATTATGTAAAAATCGAAAATCAATTGAGGAGAAACACACTCGGCTTAAACACAAACCTTGCGTTTGTGGTTTTGTACTTCCGAAGAAGAATTTCCGCACAAATTCCCTTCTAATAATACTGGTTAAATGCTAACATTTGTGTTGAATCAGAATTCATATCGAGCACTTGTATCTGAAATGGTTGAATATTATTAAATTCAATTTTAAACAACATCCCATGTGCAACCTTCATTGCTAAATTGTTTGTTACAAATATGACCTCACATTGTATATAATTCCATAATTTACAAATGTTGCTCTGATTTCGGAGATACAGCATTTATATCAGAAGTGTTTTTTGCACCTTTTTTTTCGTCAAGAAATATCTTAGCATTTGCGTGAGAAAAGGCGGGATCCTAAAATCCAAGACTCAATCATTTAATTACATGACAGCCACACTGGCTTTTCTCAGCACACCCACAACCTCTCAACCAGTCAAATATTTACCCTGAGATCGTCATCTTACCAGTTTCTTCTTGACTGTCTTGACTCGTAAATTCCACTGAAATAGCAAATATTCCAAGACATAACACACATAACTTCATTGACCAGCTATGCCGAAACCCGATTGTTTTCTCTCTCATCGACATTTCATCCTTAACCGGCTTCAAATCCACTCTTATTTGGATTGTTTGGGCCTTCTTCTGAGCTTTGCCCCAAAAATGCGTCTGCTGTACTTTTCCATGTCGCGCTCGAGGAATTCACTGTGTTGAAAATTGCCCAAGAGGCAAACAATCCCTCTTAGTGTGACTTAATTGTTTGAGCAATTTCTGAGACATCTTCATTTCTCTTGGCGCTTTTACTGCTCCGGATCATTTCCATGGATCTGAGACACTCTGGTGGAATTGTATAATCGATCGGGCAGAGCGCGATTCTGTGCCCAGAGGCATTGTGAAGGTGGAGGAATTCAATTGGCGTTGACTTCTGGGATTGTCTCAGAGGTTTGAAACAATTCTGAGAAAATGCTTATTACAACACCTGCGCTCTCTCTCTCTCTCACTCTCGCCATTCCATTGACACACAAGTGTGTTCCTCAGCATGCAAAAATCTCCTGATTAAAGATGATTTAATGAATTTTTCATACATCGTTATCTAACACTTTGAGAAATATCCATTGGCGAGCTGAATGAGAGACACTGGGGACGTAACACAAAAGAAGGTTGCGCGTCTCCAGAGATCTCTATGTGATCTCTCGAGAGGGGTGCGAGGCTGAGTCCCAATTGAATACAATGCAAGGGAATTCGCCATAAATAATACTTCACATGCGACAGAGTTGATCTTGTATGCAAAGCATGGATTTTTTGCTCGGCCGAGTGCGTCGGGTGAGACAGAAAAATGCAAATTGATTCAATCCAGTTCAATCGCGAGCCCAATCGCTTATTCATACAAAAAAAAGCGCGTTTTGCGCTCACGATAGTGATCGAGTGTCTGCCACAGAAAATACCTGTGGTGATTGGGCACGTCAAGAAGCTCAATCGCTTAGTGCACATTTTGCGGTTACACGCTGAAGATGACGTGTGTTTGCCTCCCAAAGAGGTGATCTGATGCTCTCAGCCTAGGAGAGCAACTGAAGAAGCCTCTCCATGCAAAAACTTCTTCATCAAGCACATGCCGGAGAGTCTTGTGCCCAATGATCATCTCCAAGACGTTCAATTTTATTGTCATGAAATGCTTCAGCACAGGTACTCACCACTGTCTCGCATCACGACGAAGAACGTCTAATTAATTTCCCCTCCCGGAATGATCATGCAATGCGGCGAGGAAATAATTGCGAGAATCAAATGATACTCATTGGAAAACCTGTTCCATCTATTTTTCTGAAGACGACACGGATGCACTCAATCAAGTCGTGAAGACAGGGGAAAAAGGCTTCTATTATTGAGTTTGTTTTGTTGTATGATTACTTGGCGGCACATTCTTACGCTCTCGGGGCGTTTTTTCTTATTCTTCTCCTTCCTGGCCATGATAGAACGCACCCAAGCTGATGTGTCGAAGAGGATCACCTTTTTTCAGCGCCTCTCAAGAAGATCATCCGCAGGTTGATGATCTTCGTGCACTGAGTGTCTCCGTTTTATCTACTTTCAAGGTTAATTCTTTGGTCTATCAGTGTCTCCGCGGGGTTAAATCACATCTTCCACGCCACGCCCCATCACGCTCCGGCCAGGAGATGATTTCTTCTGCTCGAGCACGCTGACCACAGACGTGGAAATTGTGCAATTTCCCATTCGGAGGTCAGCGGATAAAGGCGCAAAGAAGTGTGCCCTGTGTGTAGAAAGTGAGCCTTCTTTGAGAGTTTCTCACGCACGCACCGAGTGGCACGTACTAAAGCAATTCTCGTTTATTATTGTCGGGTGTTGATGGGGAAAAAAGACACTTTCAGAGGTGGTTTCCGGTCTCAGAGACACATAAATTGGTTTGAGGTGTTGTAATGTTGTGTTATTAAATTTTTATTCCCACTCTGAGCAATTGATTCACCACTTTCCCTCACATTTCGTAGACATAAATCGCACCTCTTTTGCGTATTGTCTCGCACAAAGGCCCCACATATAGCATGTCTTCTTGCCTCCAGAGCAATGAAACCACCAAAATACCTTGGGAGAAATCACTCTCGGGCTCAATTGGAGTGAGTGTGTGTCTCGATGACGCTCTCAGGCGTCAAAGCCCGTGCCATCCAGCGAATTATTTCGTCAAAGAAGCCTCTGCAATGTGGAGAGAGACAGAGAAAAGTATCGCGATTGCGGATCGCATTGTTTGAAAGGCTGGCGACACGAGCTGCATGCTAAGTAGTTTGGTACAGCTCGTGCAAAATGCTTATGTCATAGGAATAATTGATCAATATCCCACCATGCGTGGCTCCCTTCGCAGCAAAACTGTCGCTCATGGATAACTTTCTAACAAAAATTCACCCACAACTCAATAATAAAAATTCCACCGATGGCTTATGATCGGCATATTAAGCCTGGTGGCTTCCACCTCTGCATTGTCACTTCTTTTTTCTGCCGACAAGACATTGACGTTGAGCCGATGGCGCGAGTTGAAGAGCCTCCGCCGGTCACCTCTGCCCGTGAGTTATTGTGGCGGGTGAGAAAGAGCCCACACGTCACACTGTACACAATAATTGGCAGCGATTGCATCGGAGAATAATTATTAGAATATCGAGGCGTGGCAACATCCACCAGACGATAAATGTTGGATTCAATCGTTTTCGTGTTACACAATCTCATACCTTAATTTGATCGTGACACCATGCATTGGCTGAGCTTTTCGACTTTATTTTTACAAATCACGAATGGTGGCAATTTATTAAATTTATACCCCAGAATGCAAATGATAATCTCTCGCGCTGCTCTCCTTCTTCTGCGCCATGTCTTGGCCACTTGCTGGCATTCTTGAATCCTCCAGAACGTGGCAACCGAACAAAGGCTACTCGCCGAAGATTTCAGTGAGAAAGTGTGAGTGAGATTTTTTCACGCGCTGCACTAATTAATATTCAATGAAAATATGCTATATTCCCCGATAGATTGGCGCAATATCTGGCCATATTCCTAGATGTCTTAAAGTCCTATATGGTAAGCAATTGCCCTCGGATAGCCTCTTGGAGACACTCGTGATGTAATTTCGCTGTGTGGAAATCCATATGTGAATTGCGCACAGTTGGTGCATTTTCACAAGATGATCGCGTACTTTGTCGCTCGATGAAAAATATTTTTCCAACAAATTGCGTAATGACGGAGAAAACCCGTGATTTTCCCATCCAAGAGGGTCACGGAGGAACAATGCTGTGGCTTCTATATTGGCATTCCGAACGAGTCGGTGATTATTATTTCGCATGAGATTACGAATTTCATCAGTGCCTCTTAATTTAATTCATAATTATTGTGTGTCTCTCCATCTGTACGGCTGATTAGGTCTGGAGTGACAGCATAAATTGCAATTCGACGTTACAATGGAAGTGCATGATTGCATCCAACACGTGAGTTCCTCTCAATTTTATCCGTGTCGTTTTGAGCAAACACTCGTCCGATTACAATTTCCTCCATTATATGCATACTGCATATCATTTATCTCTATAAATCTCCACATGGAATATCGAATTTGCACGTTGTGAAACTCGCGAGGTTGCATTATCAGCACTTGCGATGATCGTTTTTCACCTTGTGGGCCCACAATGAAATTTCTGAGCTTTTCTCCCTTGGAAATCCCTCGGGCGAGGAGTCATTCTTCTCCATTCCAGCATCAGTGATGCTTTAGCGAGATTTTGTGCGCCTCAGTCGCAGAACGTGCAAAGACACCAAAACTTTCTCCCATGAAGAGCGCATGAAAGAGCAGAGAAAGTTGCTGAACCAGTAGTCACTGATCCACCGCACATTGTTGCAGGCAAAGGCGTATGAAAAGAAGTGCGATCACACAAATTAATAACTTTTTCATACGCCCTGATCTCACTGTATCACTTCTTATGGAGGTGTTGGTGAGTGAAAAAAAAGTGCCACGAGTGATGGATTGCCAGGTATGATGCACGTGAAAAGCGAAACTTTTCTAATCATATTTGCAATCTGGGCGAAAAAATATT